GGGAAGCCCCTTAAAACATCCTCTGTGGAAACCATCTGTGTTACTGCTCTGTGCTGTGCCCTGTGCTGTTTCTTCACGAGCTTCCTCTAAGTTCAAGAGGGACGTTTAAGTATTTACTGAGAGTAACAATATAGTACTTCGTTATCTGAAAAGTACTTGCCCCCTTGCCACCTTCCTCTGTTTCCATATGAATTTAAGTGATCTAAGGATAGTTAGGTCCATATCTTCCTGAGAATCCCTGGCTCTGGGCTGTACTTCTTTCCCAGTTTCTTCACAAGGTATACTTCTTTGTGCCCTCTCTTGCTTCCACCTGTCCCATTCCAGATGAAGCGATGTGGTATGAAGGCATTAGTCATCCCTTCAGGATGGAAGCTCCTTTTTGTGTTAATCTGTTAAAGGTGCTGATAAAGACTAAGCAGGTTTGAGTCCAAAGAGAACCTTCTATTTTTCTGTATTAGCTTTTACTCTTTCAAGAGCAAGGCTACTGGAACAAAGTCCCAGAGGTGGGCGAGGACCAGAACTGTTGTATGGCTGACACTTAGCTTCATATATCCCTTCCATCATCCGTGAACACTTTATATTGCAAAGCTAGATGTTGAATGCTAAACACTTTATAAAGGTGAAGTCTTGAGCTCAGGCTCTCTGCAGCCTGAGTAGGTTAAATTCAGATTGTCAGGGAAGCAGTTTGAGCAAGAATCTGAAGACTCGATCTGGCAGCTACAGTTGTGGTTCTTGAAACTTGACTTTTTTTTCCCTGGAGTATGTGTAAAAGAGACAACCAGTCTACAAAAAGTCGATTGTATCTGTTGGGAAACATATTTTTCAGCAGAGGTAATAAAAATAACTTCAGTATAAACAAATATTTCCAGTGAACTCTTGAGTTGCACTTGAAGAACCTTTATAAGAAGCATTGCTGTCTGATCAGTGAATGACTACATGAGTAAGCAGATGATTTGAATGCAACTGATGTTTTATTCACAGCTTAATTCATACTTGAGTGTATATCAAGGCAAGGCATATATCCTGATATTGCTACAGTGAGCTCTGCTGTGAAAGCCAGGGATGTTCCATCAAATGATAAGTACCAATAGTTGCCTGTCATGCAGAATTTTTTTTTTCTAAATAGTTAGTTCTTTTCATGCACTTTTTACTTTGAACTTACACATTTGTCTGCAATCTTTGTGAACTTGTCTGTTCCTCCTCCCCTTCCAAGATATCACCTGGGGGAAGCTGCATGTTAATAGTATCCTGTGCTATAATCTTCAGTCATCATGTAGACAACTTACCAAATGTGGAGAATTGGACCACAGCTCTGATCATCTGGCTAAGGGGATTAATGTTATCTAATGCAGTGCGTTGGTACCAAACAGATTATTAGGAGCAGAAGAGGTTTGGAGGCTGAGAGAGTGAGTTGAAGGAGGAGGGGTGTAAAACCCCTCAGGAAATCAGTAGCCATCTCAATTGCAACTTCTGTAGTTAATGTACTGTGTGCAGCAAAATGTATTCTCTGGAGTTGTGGGCTGTATTTGATGGGGAAAGTGTCAAAGAGGATGCTTGCTAAAAAGCTGCTTTTTAGAAGAAACAACTATAATGAAGTAACACTTTGTGCTGAAGTCTTGTCTTAGATTTCATCTTCTTAAACCAAGTGCATAAATATTTGTGGCATTTAAAATGCATATGTAGTGTTTCTGGTAGTTTGTTTAGTCTTACTAGGCAAATAGGGATGTTAAACATTAACTGAGTGTTATATAACTGTGGGTATAATTAAATTTAATTTGGTCAAGACAGTTAAAGCATACTCTGTGTAAATTATGTAGTAGTTGATAAATGCATTTCTATAGAGACATTCCATTGACTTACCAAGTAATCATTGTCACAATTGTCATTAATGGCAAAGTTCACTTAAAAACTACACTGCAGGCACAGGAGTGAATACAGGCTGTGTTAGCTTGCTTGACCTGTCCCAGCTAAACTTGCCTGGAACAAGCTTCAGCATCTCTGCCACATTTTGGTCATGTCTGAAGTGTCTGTTTAAACTACAGAATCAGAGATGCTGTTCACGTTCTGTCCTTTTTCCTTCCCATGCTCCTTTAAGCATTTTTGAAACTAGGGAGCTTCTTAGCTATTTCTGTTGCTACATAACTGAGAAGTGAACAGAAACTGAGCTTCCGAGAGATGTGTATGTCTGAAAAGGGTGTTAGCAGATATGCGTAATACTCTGCTGTGAAGAATAATTGCAAGAGGGGACTGCCAAATGTATATGGTCCTGTGCACTGGAGGTGTCCCTGGGGCTGGTAAGGAGGGTCTGTGTGCTTATCAATCCAAGCCCTGCAGAACTGGCTCCATGTCCCTCTGGAGTGCACGTTTTGTGGCTTGAAGTCCCTTTGACTCCTTGCTCCATACTTCAGTATTTTATTGTGTGAATATTGGGGGGAGAGGGAGGAGAGTGTGTGGATGATAGAACTGTTTTATAATTACAAACCAACACCTTTCATGCACCCTAGGTTGGTAAGTGCATTGGGGTTTTGTGTTGGTAATTTAACTGGGCCTCTATAGTGCCCAGTGGTGTTTTCACTGCCAGGTAACAGAGTTCTTCATAAATCTATCCAATGGTATTAAGTAAATTTTATGGCTCAGTCAACTTTTCCCTGTATTCGGCTTTTAGGAACTGGACAGCTGCTAGGCTTCTCAGGTGGTTTAATTCACATATGAAGTTTCAGCCCAGCAAATTTCTTTTTTCCCAAATTACCCACCAAGTTATTTTAAGAGTGATTTACTAATAAAATACATATTTAGGTATTTACTAAACAAAATCAAGACCATAAAACATAATGCTGGACAAGATAGCTCTGCTTTTTTTGATCAACAGTAATCCAGTTGGGTATATTAAAGGACTGTGTAAGTTGCTCACACAGGAAATAGCCTCTAGAAAAAATGCTGTGTAAAAAACCCTCTGTCTCCCCTATTCCCCAAGCTCCCTGTTCTCCACTTATTTTAATAGTAAAGCTTTTAGATATCAGTTACATTCTTTTTCTGGAGTGATATGTGACTGACTTGAGATGTGGAGAAGTTTTGTCTAAAGCTTTATTTAAGGAAATATAAAATGATTTGGAACTATAAGTAAAAGTGATGGGGAAAGGAATTAGAGTTGTTTGTACAGATAGGGTTAGAATGGAAATGTTTAATCTATGCATAGGTATTTCCACAATACCTCATGATTTGGTAACCTGATCCACCTTGTCCATGACAAAAGGGCATTTTGGATGTCTTATTTAATTTAGAAATTTAGTCCTGAGTATTTTTCCATGTTTGCGTGGTTTAGACTAGCTCAACTCTTTTGAATTCCGTGAATTTTTGTTGACTTGAAACTGATATAAAATGAGAGAAGGATCAGGTTAAAGTAACTGCCAATAAATTTGATAAGAATATTCAGATGTCATGGAGTCAGCCTTTTGTTTTTGAGTTGGAATTGAGTAACATCATCACTGAAGTCAGAGTTGCACCAGCACACAAGGCCTGTGTAAGATTAGGAGGTGGCCTTCTATGTGCATAGTATGAGATTAGAAAGATGGCCTGGCAAATGGGAAGCTAAGCTGGAGGAGGGAATAGAATCATTTAGGTTAGAAGAGACCTTCAAGATCATCCTAACACTGACAAGTCCACCACTAAGCCATGACTCTAAGTGCCACATCTACATACTTTTTAAATACTTCCAGGGATGGTGACTCCACCATTTGCTCGTCAACCCTTTCCCTGAAGAAATTTTTCCTAATATCCAAACTAAACCTTCCCTGACACAACTTGAGGCCATTTCCTCTTGTCATTATCACTTTTTACCTAGTGCAGGAGACCCCCACCTTGCTACCATCTTGGTGATGGCTGTAGAGAGTGACAGGGTGTGTTACCCTGCCGCAAGCCTCCTTTTCTCCAGGTTGAAAAACCACAGCTCCCCCAGCTGCTCCTTCTAAGACTTGTGCTCCAGCCCCTTCACCAGCTTCATTGCCCTTCTCTGGACTTTATCCAGCACCTCCATGTCTTCATGGTGAGGAGCCCAAAACTGAACATAGGACTCAAGGTGTGGCCTCACCAGTGCTGGGTACAGGGAAACCATCACTGCCCTCGTCCTGCTGGCCACACTGTTGGTGGTACAAGCCAGGATGCCATTGACCTCCTTGTGTACTTGGACACACTGCTGGCTTATATTCAGCCATTGTCAACCAATACCCCCAGTCCTTTTTTGCTGGACAGCTTTCCAGCACTCTTCCCCCAGCTTGCAGCACTGCAGGGGGCTGTTGTGGCCCAAGTGCAGGACAAAGTGCTTGGTCTTGTTGAGCCTCATACAATTGACCTCAGCCCATCAATCCAGCCTGTCCAGATCCCTCTGCAGAACCTTCCTGCCTTTGAGTAGATCAACACTCTCACCAAACTTGGTGTTGTCTGCAAACTGACTGAGGGTGTCCTCGATCCCCTTACTGAGATCACTAATAAAGAGATTAAACAGAACTGGTTTAATAATAAGGTAAACCTGCGGTATCTTTCACCAAACCATTGAAAATGTCTCTGTATGTGTTAATGGTCTTTCTTCTCCTGGATAGTGATGCAGTGTTGATAGCAGACAGGGAAGCCTGCACCGTTAATCTGGAAACTGTCATAGCTGAAGACAAAAGTCACTTCTCCAGTGTTGCAATATAGCATCACTGGTGTATGTCAAAGAGTATTAGGAGGTGCTGTGGAAGGAAAACAAAACTTTGAAATCTTTAGTATCGGTTTGGTCTCTTTTGCATCAGATACGAACAAGTAGAATGTGAAACTATTTTTAAAGCTACTTTTTCCTTCTGAAATAGCTTGGCACAAGTTCTGAAGCGTAGTTAGTTGTTGAATAAAGAAACTTCCCAGCAACTGCCCTTTGATTATTTCTTAATGTAGATTACAGCTGTCCTTTTGGGAAAGGCACATAGCTTAGCATGTGAGACACTGACACCTTTTTCTTTCCTTTTCAGAGTATCTCCTCTACAGAAGTCCGAAATAGTAGACATGGTCAAGAAACACGTCAATGCCATAACACTTGCCATTGGGGATGGTGCCAATGACGTAGGAATGATCCAGACAGCTCACGTTGGAGTGGGGATCAGTGGCAATGAGGGCATGCAGGCAACCAATTGCTCGGATTATGCCATTGCACAGGTCAGATGCGAAAAAGAACAACTGCCATATCATCTTGTCAGAAATGCACTGTGCAGCAATGTAGAGCTTGATGGCTTTTTCTCCCCTTCAAACTAGAAGCATCTCTGCTTGTTTCCTTTTCCAGGCACCTGCCTAAAACATATTTTGGGTATATTTTGGGAATTTGTTATTGTTTTGCATTCTTCAGGGCAAAGCTCTACCTCTCTTCGAAGTTTTAGCTTCCTCCTAATAGCTGTGCGATATCTTGGTTCTTGAGTAATCGGGGGAAGCACTTTCTGTGGTGTTTGTGTTAATATGCTTTTAAGTAACTTATCTGTCTTGTTGCAAGCTCTTTTCTCTTACTACGAGTAGGGCTTATAACCAGGTGTGTGAGAGTTTGGCTGTTTGGCAGTTCTTAGAGGTGTCTCCTCCTTTATTTTTATTCTACTCACTCCTGTGGTGCATCCAAGAATTGGTCACAGTTCTAGAGGGCTGTACAGTGTTTTCATTTTACGTATGTTATTTTGATTGTTATTTGGGTGAGTGCTCCCAAACTATTCCATCCAATTCAGCACTGATTACTTGAGCTAAAAAGGAGAGTTAAAAGCCTTTTTGCCTTTTTTATTGTATTACTGAAAAAACAAGATGTAGAATAAAGACTTTAAAAAAAACAGAAGAAAGGAAGGAGGTGCTTCAGTTGCTGGACATCCTCTTAATACTATTTACAGCTGAAGTGCTCTGTGTATGTGTTTGAGACTGATGAAGGGCAAAAACAGATGGAGCTGATGGAAGAGAGATCAATCCACTGTCTCTTCAGTGATCTGTGAACTTCAGCTAATGTTCCCTTCTGGCAGGGTGTAGGCAGATTTGTTCTACCAAGTGACATGAAATACTACCATCTTTTGATAGTTTCAGTAGCAGGTGATGTTTCAAAAAGGTTTGGCTAAGTGTTGTTTGCACACATAACTGTTTATTGTGTTAACCCTGCTGAGAAGCAAAGTGGCACTCTCGAATTGCTGCTCTGTACTGCAGTCAGATGAAGCACACGCAGTATCAGGTTTGAATAACTGAGACCTTTCACCAAATTTATCTTGAGAATTTTAGGCAGTTCTGTCAAGTACTTACTCTGTCATAAAGAGTTGCCTATTTCAAATGTATAGCATTATAGGGAATGCCAAAATCATTGTCCATGGTATCTTGTAATGACTTTTTCATTTTTAATTTCTGAGGATTAAATGTTGCTTCTGCTGTATAATTTAATCGAATGCTCTTTACTTTGACTTTCTCAGATAATTTTTTACTTTTATTTTAATAACTAAGCATAAGCAGTGAGAGTTTATCCATGGAAGACCCTACACACTGAATTACTTTTGTGTTGCAGTAGCATTAAATCTGGAGAAATAATTCCATGTTCATGTTTTGCTTCTGCATTAACAAAATCCCCTGTATTTTGGTTTAGTGTTAGAATGTGGAAGTTGCTTTTGGTTTAAAGTCCAGTTAGTGAGTTACTGAACATAGGAATTAATCTTTTTAGTTCAATATGAAATAAAAGCTGGTCCCACCAGCACAGAATTGTACCTTTCAAAAATCACTAAAACACTGTGGAACTGTATTTTTTGTGATTGTGTAGAAGTGCTTTGCTGATTAGAAAACATATAAAGAAATCCCTCTTGTAAGGGAGACTAATACTGTGTGGTAATGTGGGCTTTAAAAAAAAAAAGTGTTCAAAAGAAAAACTCGATCTCCGTGGAGTATGTTTCTTTCAGCAAAGACACATAACTCCCACTAAAGTGTTACTGTATGTGCATGCCTTGAAGGCAGAGTATGTTCTTATTGAGTAATTTAAGACGACCACTCTAATGTAGCATCTCATGTTCAAATGGTATTTCAAATGCAGTGGTGCCAGAAGTAGGCACTTATAGAAGAGAAAGTCTCTATATAGGCTCATTCGGGATTCCAGGGAAAATCAAAGCATAAACCAAACAAAAATAAAAAGCCAACTTAGGTCTGACTCCGCTCCAAATAGCTTCCACAGGTGCAAGGAGCATCTGTTTGAATCATCCTTTTCCCTTTAAATGAAATTGTACCAGTGATCTCTATTTAGAGAATTCCCAAATCAAATGATCTAACTGTTTAGTGAGACGGTAATAGACTTTAATAACTTTTTTCCTCAGTAACTAGCTTTATCATCTTAATCCAGAGAACATCTGGTGTCTAGGGACTGTTCCCTTTTCTTAATTAGGAAAGCTGCCTTTTTCAACAAATGTTCTTATTTCAGTTTTCTTCTTTGGAAAAATTTGCTTGTATTGAGTATGCATTTTCACTGTCTTAAAACCCCCCAGCATGCCATCAGCACACCCTTCAGTCAAGATAGAGGTATCTTTCTAGAAGATAATCTCTGTATGAAAGAAGTTATGCTAGGGTCGATATAGAGACTGTGAAAGCTTACACAAACTGTTTCACAGGAAGGCTGGCCAGATGGTCGTAATGTTCCCTGCTGATTTAAAACTCTCTAAATACAGGAGTGTCCAAACAAGGGCAGTGTTGTAGTAGAGCCCCTGTCTGTACTGTTACTCTGTGCCAGTAGCTGTGCATTTGCATAATTTCAGCGTCAAAACAAATTTAATTCTTTGCCATGTCGTAGTGGAACTCTTCACCAGTGTGAGCAGGCTCAGCACGTTATTTAGGCTGTGAGTACCTTCCTTGCTGTGTTCTGCAGTTCTGCAATGCGCTCATTTTCATGAGAGCACAGATGAGAAAATTAATGGTAGGATTTTTCCTGCCCTGAGCTCCAGAGAAGACTACATCCAAAATGGCCAATCCTTAGTTTCAGCAGAGACAAGTTTTCAGGGTGTGTCCAGCTACACTCTATGAGAGGTTTGGGGTGACTTTTAAAGACATAGTGGCAAGTTTCCCATCACCTCTGATGTGTTTTGTTAGTGATTTTGATGAGGAAAGTTGTTGCTGTCCTGCATATTAACTTGAGGTATTAGGTGTCTAATAGGTCAGCTACTCCCTTGTGAGTCTCCCAGTTTCAGTCCTGGCTCAAGTTGGGCAGAGACTGAACCATGAAACTTGGTTCATTTTTGTTTTCTCTCCTTCTTTACTGGCATATCCTAACAAATCTGAGTTGCTGATGCATGGGAGAGGGGCTGCCCTTACAGGATTTGTGGTTCAGTGATTTCAGTGCTGGAAAGCATGGGACCAGAGCTCTCTCTTGACAGTCCTAACTCATTACTTTAGCTTTCAGTTTCAAATAAGTTTTAGTTAAAATAAATTATATAGAATCTAAATTTAGGCAGACAAGTCACTTTGTGGAAAAGGAAGCAAAGCACAATAATGGTCCCACCTTAGTGTCCCAGATGCCTTCAGGTACACACGTACTAAACAGTAAACACAGTCACCAGTTTCAGCTGGGGAGCTGGACAGAGGAATGCTTCAGGCCATAAAAAAAATTGACTAACAAAACCATCAGTAGAAAATGATGCATTTCCCAGGCTGGATTATGAGACTGGTTCTATAAAAGTTCGATTTTCAAAAAAGTTGAGTTTGAACTCTATCTGTGGTTCAAACTAGCATTAAAAGGTACTCATTTGTACAAGACTTATTTACTTGCCCTTTTTGGCAAATGCCCTTTATATATATATATATATATATAAATATATATATTATATATATATATTTATGCCCCTTATACAATATTTTAGGTGCTTTCTATAACACATGATCGCATACATTTTGTATGGTGGAAATGCTAATGTAAATATCTATTCTCTGTAAATGACTCTATGCATCTTTTTTTCCACTTTTGTTCCCCCTTGTGCACTTTATATCATTTCAAGACAGTTCTAATTATTAGACTGTTCTTTTAACACAGAGAAAAGAGACTCTGAACCTTGTAAGCCATTGAACTATAGGAATGGAATACCAGTTGAAGACTTTTTGCTGATACAAGCCAGTGAAGAACACTTTAAAACATTCAGAAGTTTTCTTACAGAAAGGATGCTACCTGTTTATGTGTTGTTTTTTGCATGTACTGCTAAGCTATTTAAGTTTGCACTTGAATAGCTTTCTTATCTGATTTGAGGATTTTTTTTTCCTGAGGGCAGGGATTTACTTTATTCCAATTTTTTTTAACAATTCTTCATACATGTGAATACTTCTTTTCTGTCTTTCAGTTTGCCTACTTGGAGAAGCTGTTGTTGGTCCATGGTGCTTGGAGTTACAATCGAGTTACCAAATGCATTCTGTATTGCTTCTACAAAAATGTGGTTTTGTATATTATTGAGGTAAGAGTAACTAAATGGATGGGTCTTACTGGTGCTTACTGCTCAAATTCTCTCTTATAAAAAGCAAAACTCATCCAAATGGATTGAGCTAAAATGATGGGTTTTTTCTTCCATATTTAACAACTTAAAATTCAGTTTCCCTCCTCAGATTTAGTTGACTGTAATCTTGTAACATTTGTAAAAGGAAAAATGAAGGTTTCAGTACAGTGGAACCTGGGATATGAGATGTCAGGGACAAAGTTAATTTCTTCTGTACAAATATTCTTATTGAAAGCATCTTTGTATTCATGGAAACATTTCAAGTAGACCTTATATTTATAAAAACTTGAATTTGGGGCTAATTTAAATCAAAAGTCTGATAGAATTGGGAAAAACTCTATAGACAAATAGTAAACCAGGCAAAATTATAGCTGTTGTTTCCAAATTACAAAGTGTAGATTAGCTGGAACTGAAATTAGTTTGCCTTGTTTTTTGGAAAGAGAAGACATAATTTTGCCCTACAGTGCCAGTGAAATGATAAAATCAGTCAGGTTATTTGATTTCATAATTAAAAGGTAACTAACTGTCTTTTGAAAATTAATTGCCTGAAGATGTCAAGTAGTGAAACTGGATTTTAAAGAGAGCTGAATACTGTTATTACCATTAATACATTGCATTTCAACCTGCTTAGACAGGAGTGTAGTTCTCATGCTGCAAAATATAGTCTTGAATTTAAGAAGTATCAAGAAGGGATTTTTATCATGTGCTGTTGCTTAGAAGCACATGAGGAACTTGAACTCAGTGGTTTGGTCAGTTGAGTATCAAGTAATCACTTGGTACAGCAATTTCCACAGTGTTCATCACTTTTATCAATATAAGCCTGTGTGTGTGTATAGATATATATATTAGGTTTTCTATTTCTTTCTACAGTTTAGCAGCCATGAATGAGGTTGACAGATAGGAAAAATGCAACATTTAGAATTAGGCAGATAGTTATATCAGTTACAGGAGACAGTGGATAAGTAATGTTTTGCTATTAAGTAAGTCCTGTAATGGTCAGTGTATGTGTATCTGGCTCTGTCAGGGTTTGATCAGCTTTTGTGCATGATGTTAGACTCTTAGAGAACAAATACTTTACACTGACTTGTTCCATTTTTCCTGTGCTGTTTCTGAATTAGCTGTTGGTTGTTAAAATTTCAGTACAGATTATTCTACTGCAAGAGTTATCCCACACATCATGTTTTTAGGAAGGTTTTTTACATGCTGTTGGAGATGACAATAATATTTGTTATTGTGCAAAAGGAATATAAATAATTTTTAAAATTACTTTTCTAGTGGGTTTCTTATTGAGCGTGGCAATTGCTGGGGTTTTCCCTGAATTGTTCAGAAAATGCTTAACAGCTTCACGATTATCTTCTATGATTCTTTTCTCCATTTGAAAATTAGTGTGCAAGTCCTGCTTCTAGCCCACTGTAGCACTGTTTGTCTTTGCTTCATTTACTGTAGTCTGACAGGTAAATTAAGTTCTGCATTAAATGTTGTATGGCTAAATTATGCTTTCCCATTGAGCAACTGTGCAAGGGGTTGAAGGCAAGTGAACGCCACTGGGACCTCTAGCCAGAGATAACTGAATCATTTTGCCATAGGGAGGAATTTTATTAGCCAGATATCTCTGTATGATACATACAGTGCAAGTCTGCTCTGAGAATGTGGGGTCAGATATTCTCTTCGCTGTCTTAGTCTGTGTTCAGTTCTTTCTGCAGGCTGTACTGAGGCAAAAGAGCTTTTGTGTCTCCTGATATCCATGGCTAAGATCAGTTCCATCAACACCTGAGCACTGAAAAATATGTTACAAGATGCAGCCCTGTACCTCAGTTACCCTTCTGTGCTTATGCTGCATAGAAGTTGGGAACAAATTTAAGACTTAAGGAGGAGGTAAAATGACAGAAGTAATCTTGTAGTCCTGCAGCAGTGGGAAGAGCTCAATTTGGTTTTAGTTTGCTTTACTAGCAGCTTTAAGGAACTTCCCCTCCAAAAATGTATAAAACCAGCCAAATTGCCTGGAAACCCAAGAGATACCAGTTTTGGTATCCTGGGGATGCAAGGGAGAGAGGAGAGATCTTTAATTCCCTCCTTAGCTTTGCACAAAGAAAGATGAGTTGTTTTGTTGTTCTGCTGTGAGGCTCAGGAGTGCTGATCAGTCTGTGGTATGGAGTGATGCTCATGAAAGAGAAGCTCCACAAGGGAATAAATCCTTCAACTTAAGTGCACTTCTGCACTGTTGCACAGTTGTGCGTATGGTGCATTCCTGATTGTTTCCCAGAGCACTGGACAAATTTAATATCTACCTTTACTTTCTGCTTGGATGTGTGGTGTATGGAGAATATTCTTTTAGCATCATAATGAAACAGGGATTTGAACATGAACTACTTTCTAAGCGTATCTTCTGAAAGATTGTACTGAGTAAATATTTATACAGTTGAATCAAAAAGCGCACTGTGAATATGACTGTCAGTTATACCTTTGTTACTGTACCTGTTTTATTTCAATGAAATTTTAACACCTGAGGAATAGATATTGTAAGCCTTACATAAATGGGTTTTGCAGCAGTGAGGCACTGGGGCTCTTCATAACTTTTATTCCCTGATACTATCCAAACACCAGAAGGAAGAGGTCGTGCTCCAGCTTAGCCTACAGAACATCTGGACACAACTTGCAGAGGCATGCATTAAGATTAAACTTAAGTTAATTAAACAACGATAAATGCTTGAGAAGAACATTGCTGTCTCCTTTCCTGGCACCCCAATGTTGGTATACTAAAACCCCTCATACACTTAGAAGTTCATCTTGACACCTGTCACTCTTATACCCAGGGTATCCAAAGTGTTGCATCTCTGAAACATTAAATTTTATCAGCTTTTCTTCAGGTTCTGGGTTGAAATACGGACTTTGGGGTTTTGTGGGAAGGATACTCAGGTAACTGCCATCATGGGCTTTACTCCTGAGAGATGCTGCGGGGTTAACGCTGGTGCTTACCTTCCTGCAGTGGCTTGTTGTTTATGGAGAGACAGGTCCAGGAACTGTTTTCAGCTGCTTTGATGACTAAAATGTGCACCCATATTGGGACAATTTCATATAGCTGGAGAGGTAGTATAACAGAAGCCTTGTGGTTTAGTGATTGCAGGGGAAACAGAGGTGAATATATTTTCCCTCTTGCTTGATAAGGCCCTCCTAATATTTTTCAAGAGGTGAATTTTAAGTCATCAGAGTAATAAAGCTCAGCGAAGTCTGAGAAGATTTTTGGCTTGGCTTAACAGCTGTGTTCCATTCCTTTCTCTGGCTGATCTCTCCCTTAGCATTTCTTCATCGTTGTCCTTCTGCTGTTCTCTTGATTTCTCCCCTTGATTTTTGAAAATACAAAACTCATTGAAATACAAACAAAAAGCAGAAAGAGCAGCAGGTCCTGGAAATGCAAGTCCTTTTGATGTGCTTCTTAGCCTGAGCACTTGCATATCACTATTGTCGAGGTGCTTTAGGGTATTAAGTTGAGGTTCCCTTGCTTAGGGAGTCACTTACCAAGAGGGGTGCAAAATCAAACCTTTCCATCCACAGAGCTGATTGATACATTAATTGCTGCTGCTTTCCCGCTCTTGACTGGCCGTGCTGGTTGCAAGGGAATCTACATGGAAAGCTACCAGTATGGCTGCAGGGATGAAATACAAATATAAAGCCCTCTCTTTGATGTCCATTCCTATATTTCCCGTGTCTGGCTGCAGTAGCGCTGTACACTAAAGCCATTTCTGAGGAAAGCAAACCATTCAGCATCATCCTGAGGCAGAAGGTCAGTGACAAGGTTTTGGCTTTTGAAGATTTGACAGGCGAGTACCTGGGTATCCTTACAAAATACCATTTCATTCAATTACTTATGTACCTGGCTTTAAACTGACTAGTGAAATGAAAGATCTGTTTCACATCTGTCGAGCAGATATATTTCACTGCAGATGACATAAAGTTGTCCTGATGGTATCAGAGCTTTGAAATATAGCTGATTTCAAATGTAAAAGAATACAGGAATATTGCTTTCATGTCATTCTTGGAGAAGTAAAACACAGCAAGATCAAAGATGAAATCAGAAATATCAGGTAAGAATTTAAGACCTTTGGGAATGGTTCTGTGGAAACAGTAACATGGAAGATAGCTTTCAGGCCAACACAATGTGCGGGAAAAGTGTGCTCAGTACTTCACTGCAACATGTTGGTTTTTTGAAATGTGCCTGATATGAAGTGCTTTTGTATTATATATTGCAGAATGAGTTGGGGGTCGGAATAGGTGGTCCCAGTGTCAAGGTCTGGCAGTGGAGGGCCATGGCAGAGAAATGGATGACAAGTGGGAAGGGGAGAATATAGCGTCCATCACTTGATGCTGCATTATTCTAATTTCTGCCTTAAGAATCCAGAGATGAATTGTAAGGTGATATTAGAAAGCTGTTTCTTTGTGAATCCTGAAAGGGAAATCTTAATATGTGAGTGGTGTTAAACAAACAAGATAGGAAGAAAATACCAGGATCATAATTTTTCTTCTAGAGTTGAATTTTTGAGTTTCAAAAACTCCGAGTAAACACAATTTATAGATAAACATGCTTTTAAAGAAGTGGTGGTTTAGTGAGTCAGCGAGATCTGGCAATGAGAGCTGTTAAGTACTCCACACACTTAGTGGTCACCACTTCAGATGAGCTCACAGCACAGGCTGCAAAAGCACACATGAAATGTTGCTGCTTGAGACCTTTCATTTGTTTTTTCTGTTTTCATGGTTTCCTGTCAATCACAACAGGTATTTTTAAAAATACGGAAAGCAGACATGGGAATTTTAACTCTGTTATCCAAATGGTATGCAGAAATGAGTGTATCTGATATGTTACTAAAAAATATACAGCTCTAATGCTTTGGTGTGCTTATCCCTGATTTATGTAATCTGACTTCTGCCTACATCCCTGTGCTTTCTGTTTCCAATTGATTTTGCCG